TTCTTCTTCCACTGACGAGGTTACGTCTAGTAGTTTAGTTAACCCTCGAGAGCGGACGTCCGGTCGCCCATCCTCCCGAATGGTAGCCTATCTACCTGTCTCTTATACACATCTAGATGTGTATAAGAGACAGCACACACACACACACACACACACACACACACACACACACACAGAGCACATCTCTCTCTCTACTAGCAGACATCACACTCCGCCCACGGACAAGACCGACTATGTCTCTGTCTGTCTCCTTATTGCTTGGTCGAAGCGTGTTGCCGAACACGGAAGTCTCAATGATGACGGGGGTTTAACCAGGCAGCATCTCTCCCACCTTTTCCAAGGCAGACGGGACTTGATCTTGTACAACATCAGCCATGTGCATTTGCAAAACCCACCGAGACCATTTTCATCTCACGTCTGGGCAACATCGGCGGCCGTTGATTATGGGGCAGTGAGATGGAAGCAACACTACTAACGCCCCTTCCCCACGGTTCTATCGCTTCCTGAATCCACTTGGTAGCATCGTACCCCCTCGTCGTCCTCGGCTGCGCTTCTTTCCCCCGTCCTCTGCCGGGCCAGTGAGCCCTTGCCATTGACACGTGTCAAGCGGAGAGGTGCGTCATCAATACCTGTTGACATCCATGCGAATTCACACATCAACGGCAGATGATCGGACGGGAAAGAAGAAGAAGGCAAAGCATCTACTCCAATGACCGTCTCATCAGGCAGCCGCCATCGCTGCCGAGGCCGAAAAACGGACCGTCTCTCTCTCCTACTCCTATTCTCCATCCCCCTTCCGTGATGCAGACCAGATCCCCTGCATCCTTCCTCCTCCTCCCCACGAATCGAACGAGCTCTTCCACACTCATCAGCATACCATATGTAATCAATGGTGGCTCTTTTCTCTCCTCGTGATCGGAACTTCCACGTGGTGAAAGGAGGTTCGTCCTTAGCGTCGCCTCCATCGCCGGCCACCGTACACACACAAAGAAACTCCAGACAACCACCACCAGCATCTGCATCTCTTGTGTCTTCCCCGCCACAAGCAGATGATGACGCGGGAGCGCCGTCACTACAATGGTGGGGACCACCATCTGCACTCGCCGGCGCCGACACGTGGCACCCTGCGCAGTCTCCAATGTAACCGGCGTACGCGCTGCGCAATCCCATCAAGTGGGAGCGCATTCTTGCGCACACCTGGGACTCCGGCGGAGCATTGAAATCCCCGCATATCACGACCGGCGCGTCGGGATACCGACCTGCGATCTGCTCGAGCGCGCGCAGCATCTGCTCCGCCTGAGAGACTCTCAACGTCTCGTACTCCTCCCCCGCCTTCAGATGCGTGTTGGCCACAATAAGCCGGTGTCCTGACGATCGCTCTTCGAAGACGCAAAGCTGCAAGCCCTGGTTAAGACACCTGGCAGTCGAGCTGTCCACGTAATTCATGGCTCTCTCTTCGAGGCAGCGAAATCGCCGGCAGCGATAGAACATAGCGCACCCGTCGCAATCGAAGCCAAATCGACGGGCAGGGGAGGCCATCTTCGGATGAAAGAAGCCAGCGTATGCGTCAGATCGATCCTTCAACTTAGGCGCGAAGAAGTCGTGGAAATGGTTAACTTCCTGAAGACAAATGAAATCAGCATCGGCTCTCAAGATCTCCCCGAGGAGGAGAGGAGCCCTCCCCGCCCACTCCAAGGCCGCTAGAGGTGCCTTCACGAAATCGCCGGTCTGCGCCAGGCCGTCCGCTAAAGTGTTCCACTGAAGGACGCGGACAACGGGGGGAGGGGGAGACTGTACCGCCAGCTGCTCCTTCCTCCTGCTGCCGCCACGTGTCTCTCCCTCTCCCGCCCATCCTTCCGCCCAAAGCCGTCCCCCTCCGGGCTCCCGCTCCTTTCCTCCCCTGACAGCATTGCTTCTCTCCCGCTGCTCTAACGTCATCGAACTTAAACTTTTGCCGCTCTCCACGTTGTTCTTCGCAGAATCTTCCGCCGCGCGTAGCGCGCAAGTGCCATCGTCCCTGGCTTCCGACTCCCCCGCCCCTCCGCCGCCGATCCCTCCCCCCGAACATTTGATGTCGCTTTCCTCAGCAGCGGCGACGATTGTTACCTCCCCGCGCGGCACACCCTTCATCGCTCCCAGTCGATCGCTTCCAGTCCCCAAAACTACCGTAAGCTTCCCCGCGACTGGCGCGCAGATCGTGCCCCCGCCGTCCGCAACCCCCTCGGTCCCGAATATCGCCTTGGCGGGAATGTCCTGGTGCTCCCTGTCGCCCGCCGGTGCTGAAGACGGCGCCCCTACCACCGCGCCGTCCGTCGTGAATCGCTGCGCCTGCCGGCGAATGCTCTCCGCTAAGCTAGTCGCTTCTCTGGCGGAAGCTCCGCCGCCTTCCGCTGGCCGCTGTTGCAAGCCCTGATGATCCCTTACTTCCTTGGCGGCTGGCTGCTCGCGCTTGCGCTTCTCCTCGTCCGCAGCCGTCACGTCGGATTTCACTGTTGCTGCAGCTGCTTCTCTCTCACTCTCGCGGCTCCCATGTTGGGTTCGTTTTGTGGTCTTTTCCGCCTCTACCGCGCACTTTCTGAAGCTTTGCGCCGCCACTCTTTTCTCCACAGCAGCCCGTCGCTTTGCAACGCCCGTCCTTGACCCTCCCTTGTCCACCGTCACCGCCTCGTCGGCGTGGGGGAGTTCGGATGAACACCCTGCGCGGCCCGGGTTCCCACCCTCCTGGTCTTTCTCCCTCGTCGATACCCAGATGACTGCTACGGCAAGAATCGCTGCCGCTGCGCCAGCTGGCACCTCGTTATCGCTTCGATCGACGACGGCCGTCGCATAACTCGCAAGTGTCGTCGCGATAGAGACGGACAACGTGTCCGTTCGCCATGGGGCGGTCGCACCTGCGGCCACCGGATCGCGACCGTTGGATGACAGATGTACAGGGGGAAGGACGAGGAGTCGATCTGATGATGGGTAGGCGGCGGCGCTCAAGACGGAGCACACAGCAGGAAGAGCAGACAACGACGAATTGTCCGGTTCTGGCAGATGATGGGATCCGAATCCCTGCCACAGGAGAGGAAAGCCGCCAGATCCGACGGGGGAGGATTCACATCGGTGAGATAAGGAAGGGAGAGGGTGTTTCTCCAAGCCCAAGGGCATCCATCGCCGGCGTTGACTCGGTCGACGTTGCTGGTCAAAGCACGACGACAAAGAGAAGCTAAATAAGGACGGTGCTGAAAGCGATAGGTCGAGTGGCACTGATGATGACAACGGCAGTGAGGGGGGACACGTCAAAGACGGCGCAGATGGCGGCAAAGCAGGTGGAAGCAGAAGCGGAAGCGGAGGGGGTTTGCCCGGGGCTTGCAGACAAGTAACAAGTCCTTGCATGGGTCCACCTTTCCCACTACTCCCCCCCCCTTCCCCCCTCTCTGTCTCACGACGAGCAAGCTTCCACTACCACCACTGAACCTCTTTCGCAATCGGACATCCTGACCGTTCAATTACATCATTTCTAATCTCATCCTTCTAATAAGGTTTCACGTGTGTGTTCTCTGTCTGTGCGTTTCTTGTGTGCCTCTCTCTCTCTCTCTCTCTCTCTCTCTCTCTCTCTCTCTCTCTCTCTGTGTCTGTGTCTGTGTGTGCGTGTGCGTGTGTGTGTGTGTGTGTGTGTGGTGTGTCTGTGTTGTAGAGAACTTCGATAGGTTGAGATTTTCCTCTCGCTCTGTGAACCGTCCTTTTGCCGTATGGCCCCGGCCCCACCAATCAAGTGTATTATTTTTGTTTTGTTTTGTTTTTCTTGGTCACCAGTCTGAGTTCCGTGCACTGCATCGCCAATAATACTGCTCAAGTAATATTGGAGAAGTTTTGTGGCATTCGAACACACGTCTTCAAAATGCACCTTTCAGTAAAACCATGCCATCCGAGTGTCTACAAGCGCTGCAGCCGCCGCTCTTGGAGCGTCGTGGGTACAGCTATGTGGGGTACGGAAGTAGCCAGGATATTGAGGGGAGGGGGGGGCGAGGAAAGCGGGGCGAAGGAAGAAGGACGGGAACTTCAAGAGGAAACTACCTAGTGCAGGCCGCAATTCCTGAATCGCGGCGGACCAACAAAACTTTACTGTTGCAAACTGTAGAAAAAA